TTTTTAGTAAGATAAGAAAAAATCCCTCTCCAACAACTTTTAATCCATCCTTAGGGTTCCTGATGCAAATATACCAGAGAAAAAAATATATAAAAATGGTTAGAATAATTTAGAAATAGTATAGGATTCTAGATGTAAAATTATCTTTTAAATTTAGGAGTAAATTATTAAAAATTATTGGAGATGACCTTCTTTATTTCTTCTACGACTTTTTTTTAAAGTTATAAAACTTCTTATTTTTTGAGAAGAAAATATTGGGTACACCGGAGACGCTGAGAGTCGTGAAGAGGCTCGTTCGTTCCCCTCTGATCCCCTGATCCCTACCCGCCGCCTGTGCGAATAGCCAGCCGGCAGCCGCTCAATCAGGCCAGCGATTTCCGAAGGTATTACCGAGGCAGTTCAGATGCAGAGAATCTCCCACTGGTCTCTTCGATTCTTGATGCATTCTCGCGCCGCCCCCTTCGCTTCTGGGAAGCCCCGTTGGTATCCTCCAGCGCTTCGGCGACGTGATTATCCATTGAATCTGGCGGCGCCAGATCTAGCTGATAAAGTACTGGGTGGACTCTGCCAGGTGGTAAAGCATATTAAGTTTTATGACGAAGGGGATCAATGGTGTCCATGACAGCAAAATCACGGCCACTGATGATAGATTGCCGGATGGAATTGTCCATGACAGCAAAATCACGGCCGGAAGAATCTGGGAGGAGAGTACCCACCGTGATGGAGCTATATACAAGAAAAATTGGGGATTTTATGGAAGTGGTTGTCCTATAGATCTTACTGACCGTAGGGAGACTGACTTGGAGTCATACAAGTCTTCAAAGGTCTCCCCATGCTATCCTTATCCTGGAAATTGCACGCGCCATCCGCGAGAAGAAATGATACAGATTTGCTCATTGAGGTTGGCTAAAACTCCTATGAACAGTGACTCCATACAGTTGTATGGATACTTGGCAGCGCGGGATTTTTTGGATGGACGGCTTAATTATGTTTTCAACCGTAGCCGAGATAATCCTCTCACGGTACAAAAGGGTAAACTCATTGAGATGACTGGCCCTACGAGAGGCATTGTGATTTTTGCGGATGTTCTAATGGAGTTTGACATGAGGATCAAGACGGGAGAGAAAGAGGAAGATGACCTCCAGCTGATTGATGGAGTGGCATACTTTAACAACCGCGAATACGTGACCAGTTATACACTTCGCTTTAGTGGCTGTCATGGCGGCGCACTTGACATGCGTTTTGCACATATAGAGTATGGAATGGAGGCCGTAATAGAAGTCGTCACACCAGAAGTCAAGAGTGCTTTCAGTCTCTCTCTTGTTTCTGCTTTAGAGGAGTATGGAGAAATTGAGCTTTTTCATGGTGACATTGCAGAGTTAGGCACAAAAAGATTCGCGATCGCCGTCCCAGATGATACTATGATGTATTTGAAGTTTAAGGTAGGTAAAGAAGGCTCTGAAGGTGGTCTTGTGCACTATTGCAAGTTTGATACTAGTCGGCATGGCTGTGTCAGTCGACAGATTGTGCTTGATTGGTGAAGGTGTCTGTCTTGTCTGCTGATCCAGAGCCCTATCCTTAGGTTCATTGTCTGCTCACGCACTAGAAATGGGTGTGTCCTTGATTATACTTTGCATTTGTGCTGGAGCAGAGTTGTATTGTTGAGCCTGAACCCTGTTTACTTAGCTAGTAGACAATTTTATCAAAAAAAGGGGGGAACTTTGTGTTAAATTATCCGTAACTGCACACAATACATAGTGTTGCCAACAATTACGCATATATACAAATCATAAGTTAATGGTTCAAAAGTTATGGGTACAATAGTAACAGGTTATTAATTTAGGCCATACTTGGTTTGTCCCATCAGGCCTCGACGCCATTGTATATATCATCTAATTGCTAATCGCTAAGTCTATAATTTTGAAAGTATATTCCTCCCTCTCCCTCTCTGTTAACATTCACCATATAGTGGACCTAATGTTACATCTTTCAATCTTTCGCATCTGATTCTTCTTGCAAAATTGTTACCAGTCCATCATCTTCCACCTCCACTATATCTGCTTCAGTCCTCCCATCAATAGCATCACCATTCTGATAGTGCAACTCTTTCCTGTTGACCTTTGTTCATCAGGATTTTCTTATCCTTCCCCTATTAATTCCCTAACTCAGAATCCCAATCCTTCATGCATGCTTCCAGCCAACTAGGACTATAGCGTCCCCCCCCCAACTGTTTTTTTCCCTATTCCTATAGCAAAAAGGGTCAATGTATCAGTAGAACGTTGAAGCTCAAGTTGCACTCAACGAGTTCAAAAGAATGAATGTCTTGAATAATACGAGTATAAAGAGAATATACAGTATGCTATTGTTCTAGTTTAGTTTTTGCATTTTAGGGCTAATGTAAATCTAAAGGTCAGTGCAATCATGCAAAATACTTTTTCAGTAACAAACTAGCAACAAAAGGAAGTTTCCAATCAGTCCACCTCTGTAAAGAAAGTGACCAGCAGACAGCAAAGCTGAAGGAAATGAAAAGGTATTGCACCCAGATTTGTCCCCACTTGTTTTGAGTTGTGACTAATGAATATCACATTAGGTCTGATTCAGTTTACGCAAACAGTGAACTGCACTTAATATCAAGAACGGTGCACACTTTTCCACATGAACTGAATCGTACTTCGTACAGAATTTGATATCCCTTAGTATGCAGATATGACAAAAAAAACTTATGCATTTCATAATAAATAGACATATAACTATCATGCTGAAGGATCACCATGGTACTAAACAAATAGTCGCTAATGCAGTTACTAAATATGTTTGCGAGTGAGAATAGGGAGGGCTCGTCAGGTTTGTTTATTCCGTCCTCTGTGTGTGTGTGGGGGGGGGGGCTACATTGATGACTACCTGGTCTACCACAACTCCAATTCCACAAGATAGGTTGGGGAACTTGAGGCATAAAATTTCCAGACTGCTTAGTTCCAAACTGTCAAGAGCATGTCCCCTTATGCAGACACAAGGCTGCTTGAGTGTCCTGCATTCATCATAAGATTTGCAACCTTCTCAATAGTAAACGATAAGTGCAGTGGTAGACAAATGCTTGCAGTGAGTCCTTATGGCATTACTACAATAATGCCTACCCTACTTTGTTCCGGTTCACATTACTAGGGACTCGCTCCAGTAATTTATAAACCACAGAGGTGCCGACCATTTTTTAATTCTTAAACTAGCATGGTGAATGTAAATTATAGATGGTGATTTAAAAAGGTAACAGGAAGAAGCAATAAGAAATACGAAGTAGTCACCAGGGAATAATATCGAGAGCAAGTGATGCTACATACAATGAAGATAGGACAGTTAAGAGAGAAAAAGAACAATAAAACTCAATGAGCGCTGTTATCGCAGAATAGATTTAAGGATTCTAAGCTAATAAGTAAGCTAATAGAAATAGCTTCTTGCAGAACCCTTGCATAAAAAATGACAGTAATATCGGTTCAAACCAAAAGAAACCATATCCTTGCTGCTAAAGGACCTTTATACAAAGTTAAACTATTAAAAACTACTTCACATGCATCCAACTTACTTAGGCATACATGTTAAAATACATCTGTGCAAGGCCGCAAGGGTGCACACATTTGAAGAGTACAAAGCTAAACAATACAATGTATATGACATAACCAAGACCCAAAGAGAATAAATAGCACCTGAACTTCTTGAAGTGTTTCACACATCTTGCCATAATCTCGATTGGCACAATATGAGTGGTGTCCTTGCCAAAAAAAAAGCGACGCCAATGATTCTTCTTTCAAAGTATACGACTAGCCCCCCAATAAAAATCTGGTACAATATGACAAACCCAAAAATAATATTAATGTAAGTTTTCACATCATCCCGAATATCGGTTGGATATGCATATACAGTTTCAAATTATTGAAAATCTCCCATGAAGCATTTAAATTTTGGAAATACTTCATTGGAAGGATTAGTGCATAAAAGAAGAGATTCAATTTATATCCTGATGATCTATAATGAGTAACTAAGGTTACATGATCTGCTCACCGTAACAAAAAGAGTATGACTTCTAATTGAAGTTATATGTTCTTTCACAGATTAAGAGTATAAGTTGGACCTCATTCTGTAAACCGCCTTGTAATCATTCAAGAGTAACTGAATATTCAGCAAACTACATATGCTGCCCTACCAGCTCACAAAACTAATTTGACACGCAGCCTTTCTTTAATTGCTATAATGTTTATTCATTCATATTCACATCTTTTTTACTCACAATTAAAATTTAAATATTGCGTTATTTTTTACCTTATTAACAGGACAGGTACAGAGCAAAAGCTCACTGCAGTCCAACTTGCTTCTTTTACGAATCATGTTCCCCTGTCTCACCAGTAAAGCTCGTGACTTGGAGTCCCGAGCTACAGCTATCACAGGCCGACCCAGCAAGGAGTAACATTCAGGAAGGTCATTAAGCGCCACCATGGGAAGATCAAACTGTATCTCAACAGTGACAACAGCAATATTATAGTGCAAATTGCACATTGAGATGCACCCATTGATAGTCCTTTTGTCGTGCAGAAGCACTTCAATCTGTGATCATTAAATGAAAGCCTAGTTATCCACGATTCCCCACATCAATGAAGAAGGAAGTGAGTACATCAAATCTGCTGTTACGCTGACCTTAACTTCATCCGCTTTGTAAGCATCATGGTCTGTGTCAGGTTTCCTAACCAGCGTAGCTGAGGTGAGTATCCATGTCTCAGAACTAGGCTAGGAGTCAGAACCCACATGATTGACCACCGTGCCTGTGCAAGCAAACAGAGGCTTCCCATCTGCACAATTGTGTAGCAGAACAGGATCAGAGTTTCACTCACAAGCTTAGCTTGATGACGAGAAACATGTGTAAAACACAGAGCCGTGCGGTACAGGTGGAGAACAGTGGAAGTACCAACAGAAGAGACAAGTGAGACGATGGATTTGGACAGGCATAACACCACTTATTTTGCATTCAGGGCTTCTTGGGTGAAACCCTCTGGATCGCTAGGATCATCCTCCTCAGCCTCCATATCCGAATCGCCTTCTGGATCCCCAAAAAGAGCATTCCTCCATAATGCATCTAAGGAATTAAACAACCAAACAACTGTCGTTAAAAAAAACGGTCGGGAGCCGAGGGGGAGGGGGAAGAGGACGGGAGGGGCATAAAAGATTTCTATAATTTTGCCATCACCTCTTCGACTTGCATTGTCTTGGGCCATCTCCGAGATCTGCAAGAAAAACAAAAACGGGATGAGCTTGGTAAGTTTTCCCTGTATAAACGAAGCTAGCGATTACTCCAGGGAATCAGCAGCAGGAAGGCGGACTTCTTACCCTAATTTTATTTATTTATCTGATTATTTGGACAATACGCAGCTGCCGCGCCTTAAAAAACTACGAGAAGTGTTGCTATGTAAATTACGTCAATCTTGTGCCCTAATTTTATTTATTTATCTGATTATTTGGACAATACGCAGCTGCCGCGCCTTAAAAAACTACGAGAAGTGTTGCTATGTAAATTACGTCAATCTTGTGCCCTGAGGAAGAAATACTTAATCAACCCGTAAATGAGCGGAATTGCATTAGCAGGGCACCACGGAACACACGAACACAAAACCACATGAGAAGATTGAGAAGATGGTCAGGCTAGCGCCGGACGCCGATCCCCACGCCCCGGTGTGCTCCGTTCCTCACGCCCCACCCGCTCCTATTCTGCACTGCTGGAACGACTCACCTCATTCAGTCCGCGTGTCTTCACGTGAGCCCACATCGCTCAAACATCACCGGCATCACCGAGGCGAGGCAGCGTAAGGCGAGACACCATCTATTTTTAAACATCGGTCATGTTTGTTTTTCTTATAATCTATTTTTTTAGCTTGTTTTTTAGCTGGAATAGTATATTTCTCTCACAATAAATCAGATGAAACAGTGTTTCGTTTTGTTTTTTCAGCGAAGCGAACGGAGCCATCCAAATAAAACATTTGCAATATACGTTCGAAAATAGTTAAAACACTTGCAACATATGTTTAAAACACTTATAAAAACACCTGAAAGACGCTTGAAAAGCCATTGCAAAATATATACAACATCCAGATAAAACATATACAACATATGTGTGAAACACGTGCAACATTTATATAAACACACTTACAACATACGTCTAGAAAAACAACTAAAATATTAGGAACAAAAGCTTGCAACACACGTGTACAACTATTGCAACATATGCAACATCCCGGTCTACTTTTGCAACATTCACATGAAACACTTGTAACATCCAGATAAAATATTTGAAACACTTGAAACATACTGTTACAAAATGCGTTTCCAGCGCGCAATGTCACATTGGGTCAGTTCGCTGGTCTGGATTCATCCAGCCAGCCGGCTGATCCTCCTCATAGTTCACTATTCACCAAACCAGCCGAACAGTGTTTTTCTCTCACAACAAACCAACCGGAACAGTATTTTTCAGCCAAGTTTCAGACCAGCGAACGGGGCCATTGCTGCTTGGACGAATCATGGAACTCGACGCCGTGGCGGCGCATAGAGCTCGTCGGTGCGCCTCTAGGCAAGGACCTACTCAGCGGCCGAGGTGAGCACCTGCGCCAGGCGCGCGAGCACCCCTGGGTGCAGAGGAGGATGGGCTTGGCGTGGCAGGGAATCGGAGGAGCCATGGGGGTTGGCGGCGGCGGCGCGCCTATAAGGTTGAGATGGCGAACTAGAGGGGGGTGAATAGTTCTTTCTAAAATTAATCACGTCGGCTAACCGAAACAAGTGCGGAATTAAAACTATCGGTCTAGCCAAGACTACACCCCTCTATTTATATTCTCTAGCACCTTCCAAGAATACTAATTAAGCAACAAAGGTGACGGGCTAGCTAGAGCTCACCTAACCAATTCTAGAAGCAAGGTCACACAAACCTATGCCACTAGTACTTTAAGCAACAAGGAAGCTCCTACACATGCTAGTAAGCAAAAGCACAAAGCCACCTAAGCTCACTATCAATGCTCAATAATAAGGCAACCAATGCCAAATTAGAGAGCGTAAATACTTAGCTACACAAACTAAGCAATGTGACTAATAAGGTTCAACAAACCAAATTAGCCACGCAAGGGAGCTACTTCTATGCTACACAAGCAAGAAGGTAACTAGTGAGCTACACAAGCTTAACTAGATACAAGAGCAACTACACAAGCACAATGTATATGAAAGTAATTACAAGCTTGTGTAACGAGGATGCAAACCAACGGGAAGAACAAGGTTGACACGGTGATTTTTCTCCCGAGATTCACGTGCTTGCCAACACGCTAGTCCCCGTTGTGTCGACTGCTCACTTGGTGGTTCAGCGGCTAATTGGCATCACCCGCCAAGCCCGCACGTCGGGCACCGCAAGAACCTACCCCGAAAATGAGAGTAGCTCAATAACACGCTTTACTAGAGTTGCTCTTCGCAGCTCCCGCGGGGCGAGCACAATGCCCCTCACAAAGCTCTTCTCCGGAGCACCGCACAAGCTTCTTGCGGGCTTCGACGGAGACCACCACCAAGCCATCTAGGAGGTGGAAACCTCCAAGAGTAACAAGCACCACCAGCTTACAACTCAATCACCTAGTGCTACTCGATGCAACCTCACGATGCAATCGCACTAGAATCGCTCTCTCACACAATCGGATGATCACTATCAAGTATGTGTGAGATGAAGGGCTCCCAAGCACTCTCAAGCATGGACACAAAGTCCCCCGAAGTGCTCAGCACCAGCCATGACCGAGACACCCTTCTATTTATAGCCTCACGGGCTAAACTAGCCGTTACCCCTTCACTGGGCAAAATTCGAGACGACCGGACGCTCCGGTCGTATCGACCAGACGCAGGACCTCAGCGTCCGGTCAATGGATGCTCGCCACGTGTCGCCTCCATTCAACCTCAGTCACTTGATCTCAACAGTCAAGTGATGACCGGACGTAGCTGCTCAAACTGACCGGACGCAGCAACCCCAGTGTCCGGTCGTTTCCAGTAAGGTACCAGTCGCGACCGGATGCGTCCGGTTGGTCACGATCGGACGCAGTGTCAGCGTCCGGTCCTTCTCCAAATTTTTTGTGTCGCCTACGCCACCGTACGTCAGCCTGACCGGACGCACCCTGCCAGCGTCCGGTCGAAGACCGATGCCTGCACGCTCTCGGCCGCCACTGACCGGACATAGGACCCCAGCGTCCGGTCACCACGTGACCAGCGTTCGGTCCACTCTGTGAGACCCTGTCTTTTCTATATAGGGCGCCGGTGGCACCGTCAGACTGTCCGCACTGTACGGGCGGACACTCCGCCGGTGGAGTTTTTAACCCTTCTCGCCTCCGTTTCATCGCCGAGTTGATCCACATCAACTCCAACTTCATCTCCTTTGTAAATATGCCAATACCACCATGTGTATGTGTGTTAGCATTTTTACATTCATTTCCCAAAGGATTAGCCACTCAACTTGTCACGCCACTCAATCCTAGCAACGATGCAAAGTTAGATCACTCGAGTGACACTAGATGACCGATATGCAAACAAGTTTGACCCTCTTGATAGTACGACCATCTATCCTAAACCCAGTCATCAACTTCTCTATACACCAATGACCGGTGAAATGAAATGCCCTAAGTTATACCTTTGTCTTGCGCATTCCATTCTATCTCCTCCAATGTCGATGCAACACATGCACCAACATAATCAACAATGATATGATCTACTTCATATCATCACGATATCATATTGGTTCATCGATCTTGTCTTCACTTGCTTTTCATCGTTGCCTTCGTCCATCAGCGCCAAGTCTTGCTCAATCTGGTTTCACCGATGCTAGCTTCCAAACTGACACGGATGATTCACAGTCTCAATCTGGTTTTGTGTTCACAATAAATGGTGGTGCTGTAAGTTGGAAAATTTCCAAGCAGGAGACGATGACAGATTCTACAGCAGAGGCCGAGTACATTATAGCTTCTGGAGCTGCGAAGGAAGGTGTTTGGATGAGGATGTTCCTCATTGAACTTGGTGTGTTTCCGAATGCGTCCAGCCCATTGAATCTACATTGTGACAACAATGGGGCAATTGCGCAGGCTAAGGAGCCAAGGAATCACCAAAAGAACAAACATGTACTGCGGAAATTTCACCTCATTCGAGAGTTCGTTAGACGCGATGAGATCAAGATGTGCAAGATACACATAGATTTGAATGTTGCAGATCCTTTGACAAAGGCTCTTCCACAGCCTAAGCATGAGGCGCACATGAGAGCTATGGGTATTAGATATCTTCTAGATAGACTCTAGTGCAAGTGGGAGACTGTTGGAGATATGCCCTAGAGGCAATCATAGAGATGATGATATTCCATTGTATCCATGTTTCATATTGTGTTCCTTGAATATCCATTAAAGGCTACTTGAATTGATTTGCAATTATGTGAATTGTATGTGAAACTCTTTACTTGTATGGTTATTCTAAAGTTGTCCCTAGTTAGAGTTCATGTGAGGACACAGGTGAATATTAGACTAGTACATGTATTAGCTGATGACTATGTTTCACAAGTCATGGACATGAAGATGTCAAACTAATAATGTGGGCACGTGTACAGATGTGCTAGGACCGACCCAACACGAGATATAGTTACATAGTTCTCTTTACACAACATGTACGCTTTGTCCTTAGACCTGAGATTGTTGCGTGCACTCAAGATGTGAATTGACTTACTTAGGGGCTGTCAAACGCTACTCCGTAACTGGGTAGTTATAAAGGTAGCTTTCGGGTTTGTCAGGAAGCATGCTGTGAGGCATGACCAGTCAAGATGGAATTTGCCCCTCTCTACTTGAGAGAGATATCTCTGGGCCCCTCGAGTGATCGAATCCAGAAATGCATGGCCATGCTACATGAGGTTAAGAGTTAACCTAGAAAGGGATTTTGAATCACAGGATCGAGAAAGAGAGGTCGGCTTGGAGCTAGACCAAATATTGTGAGGCAAAGGGAATAGCATGTACATGATGTTGTGATGGTTCGTCTGATATGATATTCATGTGCGTATAGGAGTTGGCATGTCTTGCTAGAGGCTGCTACCAACTATTGGCCGAGTAGAAGTACTCATGTCATGTCTATACGTATGTGAACCTATAGGGTCGCACACTTAAGGGGCTGGAAGCCCAATGAGGATCTGATCCGAATTGGACCAAGTTTAGAAGTACTAATGGGCCTCGGACCTAGAGGCATGTTAGGGACCTCTATATATTGAGGGGTGGGGGTAGCTTAGGGTTTGGACCCTTTTAGCGCAGCAGTTGCTGCTCCATCTTCCACACCCAGCAGCTGTTCATCTCCCAAGCCCTCACCGAGTTGCACTCGCGGATCTAGCAGTCCGGCTTGCGACGCTTCCTCCCTGCACGTGTGGATAACTTGGAGGTGTTGCATTTGCAACACTTGGACGAGCAGCTGCACGAGGAGGACGCCGCTGAACGTTTGACGTGGAGGCAATCGACTACTCTACTTCGACGCGGTGATCGACTACACTACCCTGACGCGCCTCATCAACTTCCGCATCTACGCGTCTAGTGGTAATCCCGTGATCCGTAACAACAGCAGTGTTCCTGTTTTACGCGGTAGAAATATTTTTGTGCTAGCGTAACCTACCTCGTATTCCTACAGTGGTATCAGAGCCGATGCTGTTTTGTTATGGATTTAGGATGTGTGCATATGGAGATATGCGTGGTTGTAGATGAGTCACTGATCATGGTTCGTGATTTTACTGTGTTGGTATTGTAACGATCTACTCGTACCGATCGGAATTATGTCATCCGAGTTAAGTGATACATGTAAATCCAATCATGGCAAGATGGAGATCAATCAGATTGATCGAATCAAACTTAGGTCAAGTGCCGAGCGCATGTGATGCGCAGCGGTGATAGATTGGATCTACTGCCAGGCGCCGGGGTGCAAGAAAAAGTGTTGTTCGGTAAAACAGCCATAACTTTTGCGTACGACCTCAGATTGAGATGAATTTTATATGAAAATTGATCTACAGAAAAAAATACATCCGATTCTCACCCCGTTAGGTGGTTTCGCTGAAATTAGATTTGCGAAAAACAGCCGAGAAGATGGTGTTTTTGGCGTTTTAAGATTAGACGTCGGAATCGGTTAACTCTGTTTTGCAGGAGCTTAAGACTGGTATAGCCCTTATGTGTATGTGATGCATGTATGTAATTAATTCATGGCTTGCATGTCGTGAGTATGACAATATGGTTGGAGCCACAAAGATATTGTCAATTTGATGTAATGGCCTGCGTGCCAAACTGTGATGATCCTATCCGCGACTATGTAATTTTCTTCACTGCCCTGCGTTAGTGATAGCTAGTCTTGGTGGACTCATCACTGAAGGATGGCATACATGGAGCATGGAGATGGAGATCATCATGAGGAACAGTTCGATGGAGATGGAGATCCCCAAAGGAACAATGGGCTATACCATGTCATATCTATGTTAATGCCGATCTTACTATATTCTACTTTCACGTGCGATAATGTTTTGTCTACATGCGATGGTGAAGTAGAATGATCCCTCGGAAATGTTTAAGTTAAAATGCCTCCCCAAACCTTGCACTGTCATGTGTCTTGTACAATCGGTGGTGGGTCTATGAAATTAGGGTGCCACTGGTTTTCCTTGACTAGACAGGTTTGTATCGGATACTTACACGCATAAGGGTTGGTTTGCTTAACAAGGTCATCTTAACGGTTAAGGACTTTGGGGCATGATGGTTGGGCGCCGAGACATGGAGATGTCACCCAACAACAGGAGTCATATGTGATATGATTAGCAAAGAGTTGCTTACCTATCTACCTTGACTGCTAGCGGTGATGCTAAAGCTCACTAGTAGACTTGTTAGTTGTGGATCCTGAATCACTAAATATCAATAGAGGGATATTGATTTTAGTGGGAGTAGAGTCTGTTAAAAGTTTAATGTGATTTACTCTGTCATGGATACTTTTATCTTAGTATTTTGCATTATTATTTGTTGTAGATTAATGGCACCTAGCAACACCACACCGTTTGCTTTGCGTTCAGTTCTTGAGAAGGACAAGTTGAATGGAACAAACTACACAGATTGGATCCGTAACCTGAGAATTGTTCTCAGGGCTGATAAAAAGGAAGATGTTCTAGACACCCCATTACCAGAAGAACCTGCTGATGATGCACCTGCTGCCATTAAGAATGCTTACAAGAAAGCATGTGATGCTAATCTCGAAGTAAGCTGCCTTATGCTTGCTTGCATGCAACCCGAACTACAGATGCAGTTTGAAACAAATCATGCGGCGTACGATATGATCGTGGCGCTTAGAGACATGTTCCATACACATGCTAGGACTGAAAGGTTCAATGTGTCTAAGGCTTTTGTGGAAAGCAAGCTAGCAGAAGGCGTAGCAGTAGGGCCACACATAATCAAGATGGTTGGTTATGTTCAATGGTTGGAGAAGCTGGGCTTCCCACTAGGCCAAGAGTTGGCCACTGATTTCATTCTTTCGTCTCTTCCGCCTAGCTATGGGAACTTCATCTCGAACTACCATATGCATGGGGCGGAGAAGGGTCTGAATGAACTGTGTGGCATGCTTAAAATAACAGAGGGTGACATTAAGAAAAGCGCTGGAAGCAGCCATGTGATGGCAATACAGAACAAGCCTAGCTTTAAGAAGAAGGGCAATTCTTGGAAGAAGAAGGGCAAGGCTGTGAATTCTAAGCCAAACCCAGCGCCCAAGGTTAAAGCTGGACCTACTCCAGACAAAGAGTGTTTTTATTGTCATGAACTTGGTCACTAGAAGAGAAATTGCAAGCAGTATCTGGCTTCGTTGAACAATGGCGGAAGTAAGAGTACTTCCACCTTAGGTACACTTGTTATTAATGTTATAGACAACATATTTCTCGCTGATACAATTATTAATTCTTGGGTATTTGATACCGGATCGGTTGCTCATATTTGCAATTCGATGCAGGGACTGATAAAAAGTAGAAGCATTGAAAGAGGAGAAGTTGATTTCCGTGTGGGCAATAGTGCAAGGGTTGCTGCATTGACCATCGGGACGATGCAACTCCACCTCCCGTCAGGATTTATCATGGAGTTGAATAATTGTTATTTCGTTCCAAGTTTAAGTCAAAACATTATGTCTCCTTCATGCTTGATGAAGGATGGTTATTCATTTGCGAGTGAAAACAATGGTTGTGTGATCTCTAAGAATAATATGTTTATGGCTTTTGCACCCATTGTGAATGGGTTGTTTGTTTTAAGTCTTGATGATTCACCTGTCTATAATATAAGTGCTAAAAAGCCTCAGCTTAATGAGTTAAGTCCTACCTATATGTGGCATTGTCGTTTAGGTCACATAAGTGAGAATCGCATGAAGCGGCTCCATTCTGATGGGCTTTTAACTTTGTTTGATTTTGAATCATATGAGACATGTGAGGCTTGCCTGCTGGGCAAGATAACCAAGACGCCTTTCATAGGTTTTCCTAAGAGGGCGGCAGACTTGCTGGAACTCATACATACTGATGTGTGTGGACCAATGAGTACGACAACAAGAGGCGGATTCCAATACTTCATAACCTTCACTGATGACTTTAGTAGATATGGCTATGTCTACTTAATGAAACATAAGTCTGAGACATTTGAAAAGTTCAAGGAGTTTCAGAGTGAAGTAGAGAATCAACGTGGCAAGAAAATTAAGGCTTTGCGATCTGATCGTGGAGGCAAATATTTGAGCCACGAGTTTAGCAATCATCTAAAGAGTTGCGGAATTGTTCCACAGCTTACGCCACCTGAAACGCCTCAGAGAAATGGCGTGTCCGAGCGACGTAATTGGACTTTGTTGGACATGGTTTGGTCTATGATGAGCCAGTCAGACCTACCGTTATCATTTTGGGGATACGCTCTAGAAACAACCGCTTTCACATTGAATAGGGTACCGTCTAAGTCTGTAGTTAAGACACCACATGAGATGTGGACTGGTAAGAGTCCTAGTTTGTCTTTTCTAAAAATTTGGGGTTGTGAAGTTTATGTCAAACAACTTATGACAGATAAACTAACACCCAAGTCAGACAAATGCTTTTTCGTGGGATATCCAAAGGAAACTTTAGGGTATTACTTCTACAACCGATCAGAGGGCAAAGTGTTTGATGCTCGGAATGGTGTTTTTTTAGAGAAAGAGTTTCTCAAAAGAGAGAAAAATGGATAGAAGGTGTATCTTGAAGAAGTTCAAGATGAGCCAGTTGGGAAGGACTCTACGAGTAATGCTAATGTAGCAA